ATGGTGTTTGGTTAAGTAAGTCATATGGTATAGTTTTTAGTCCCTGATAGGATGCAGATACAAATATTTCCAACACTTCCACTTTTTCACAGAACTTTGAACTCAGATTTGACTGTATACCTGCAAACATGAAGATATCAAGTAGTTGGGGGAGGGAGGGAGTTATACAAAACTTGGCATATTATTTCATCTGAAATTTACATCACAAGAAATGCAGAACCAAAGCATTTAATCAATTCCCTGTTGTTTTGCCCATTACTTTGCCTCCTTTCCAAAGATGGTCTGAGAACATATGTGCCAAACTCCCGTCCTTTATCTCATGAATGCTTACACAGGGTATGTTTACACAAGACATTTACTGCGGAGCTGCCTAATTAGCAGGGTGTATGTGTGTGTGTATATATATATATATGTCTTCTCACAGTAGCCCTACAGTAGCTGGGAGCGTGCTTTTTCAGCTCCTGCTTTTCCTAAGTTGGCCCCTCCCTCTGCCGTCCCTGTCGCTCTGGGCTCCTGGCACTCTTAAAGAGCGTTACAGACAGACAGACACTCAGACAGATGGACTAAGCCCTATTGTGTGTGTGTGTGTGTGTGTGTGTGTGTATCAGTGGCATTTCATTTTAATCACGGAAAAATGTGGATTTGGGGTTACATTTTTTAACTGGAAAATTGGTTGGTTTTTTGTTTTGTTTTTTTTAATAGAGAAAACCAGAAGTCCCTCCCTGCTAATTAGCTCTGCAGTACATGTCTCTGTGTCTACACATGCATTCCTAATAGGGTGCACAAACCTAATCAATGCTGGAGCAAACTACTATTTATAAATACAGGTACTAGCCTGCTCCAGACTTTTTTCACGTGCAGTAGCACATGTGTAGATGCTGCCCAGCTGGCTGGAGCACAAGGGTATTTCAGTGCAGGAGCTGCCTCAACAGGATGGTAAGCTGGGTCAGAAAAGCCCTGAGCTGCTGCCAGCCAAAGCTGCTCTGACCATGTTCAATGTGCTGCTCACTATATACTCCAGAGTTTTTTATTCCTGAGTGCATGTTCAAACAGCATGGCTGGGAGCAAAAACCCTGGGGCATTAAGCACCAGAGTTTTTGTGTAGACCACTGATCTCCAACCTTTTTGAGGTGAAGATCACTTTTTGAAGTAAAAGGCAATCCCAGATATACCATGCCCGCCCCACCTCCTGCCCCTGCCCCGC